TTTGGGCGTATTTTGGTCTGTTAGAAAAAAGTGCCTCCTAAAATTTTAAAGGAAGAAAGACATATATGTACAAAATAAGGGTTGATACAATGAAGGGATAGAAGATGACTGTAAAGTTGAAAATTATAAAAGATTTTATAAAAGGACTTGATAAGAAGTTGTTTGAAAAAAGAAAGAAGATTTAAAAAAAAAAAGGGAGAGAATGTGATCAGGCAGGAGACTAGAACAAAGCCATACACTAGTGATTTAGGGTATATTTTGATCTGTTAGAAGAAACTGTATCTCAAAATTTTAAAGAGAGAACAACTTATATATATATATGCCAAAAATAAGGGTAACTACTATGAAGGGATAAAATATGACTCTAAAAATGAAAAATAAAAAATGTTTGTTTTTTTTTTTTAAAAGAGATTGATAAGATGTTTGTTGAAAAAGGGAAAAAGAAAAAGAAAAAAAAAACAGTTAACAAAAATTAACTTTGATGAACTAATGAATCATGGTAAAAAAAAGCCATGAATTCTATGTGCAGTATTCCCCTAGAGCTGGAGTTCTCCCGTTCTTGTTCGGTAAACTTGGTCTTGGCTTGCTGGCTGTTCGTGCTGATCTTCTGGGGGAGGGGCCTGTTGCTGTGGTTTCCAAATGTCTTTGCCGGAGCCTGAATTGCCCCGCCCTTGTCGGTCCGGGCTAAGCAAGCTGCTCGGGTTTGATCTCGGGAGCTTTTGTTCCCTGCAAGCTCTCCATACAGCCTTGGAGGACTAGGGCAAAAATGGTGGCCTCCCAATCTCCCCCCGGGGGAGCTGAGAACTCGGGGCCCTGCTCCTCAGTGCGCCCCCAGAGAAAAGCAGTCACTCCCTTGTCCCCGGTCTCCGGCCGCACTCCGTGCTCACCCGGCCTGTGACCGAGCGTTTCTATCTCTGGCACCCGACCCCGCGCAGAGTCTCCAAACCCAGCAGATCCCTGCGGTGCGCTCCCGCACCGCTCCTCCCCGGGAAGGAAGGGGAGTCTCCCCGGATCTGCCGCCTGTTGGGTCCCTGCTGGAGGAGCAGTGGCCCGACTGGGCCGCGGATCACAGTTTATGGCAACCCCAAGCTGCGAGCCCGTGCCTCGGCTCTGTTTCTGCAGCCGGCTTCCCCGTTCCGATACCTGGGAGCTCTGGTGCACTCAGGCTCCCCCGGTCTTTCTGTGACCCCAAGGGTCCTGAGTGAACACTGTCCCGGGAGGGTTCCACCCCCAGCTTAGCCACTGGAGCGACGTCCCTCAGCGGAGCCGACTTCTAAAAGTTCCGATTTTGTGCTCCGCGGCTCTATCACTTGCCAGAAGCGGCCGGCGGAGGCCCCCTCCCCCGCCGTCTATCCTCCCGAATATCGCCTCGGATTCACTTCTCCGCATGTCCTACCTTCCAGTGAGTGGTCGCTTCTCTGTTCAGAGAGTTGTTGCTACTCTCTTCTTCCATCTCCTGTTGAGTTCATAGGTGTTCAGACTGGTTTGATCCCTAGTCAGCTGAATTCCTGAGACCAGACGAAATCCCGGTCTCCTACTCCTCCGCCATCTTGCTCCGCCCCCCACTGTTCTCTTATGTCAATTATATCTTAATAAACCTGAAAAAAAGCAAAAAAAAATTAAAGCATATACTTTCATTCCCTTTCTATCCTTGTATGATTTTAAGTTTCACATCTTTTTTTTTTCAGCTTTATTGAAACATCATCTTTGTGGGGGATTACTTTTTGTTTCCATGAGTTTGATTTTTTTTTTCAGATTCTACATAAGTGATACCATGCAGTATTTGTTTCTCTCTGTCTGGCTTATTTCACTTAGCATAAGGCTCTCAAGGTCCATCATGTTGTGGCAAATGGCAGGATTTCTTTCTTTCTCACATTTGAGTAATATTTCTGTGTGTATGTATGTGTATCAAATCTTTATCCACTCATTTGTTGGCAAACAGTTTGTTTCCAATGTCTTGGCTGTTGTGAAGAATGCTGTATTGAACATGGGAGTTCAGGTACCTTTTTGAGTTCATGCTTTCATTTCCTTTCGATATATACCTAGAAGTGGGATTGCTAGACCATATGGTAGTTCTAGTTCTAATTTTTTTTGAGGAACTTCCATTGTTTTCTATAGTGGCTGCATCAATTTGAATTCCCATTAACAGTGCAAAAGTGTTCCTTTTCTCAACACCCTGGTCAAAGTTTGTTAATCTCTTGTCTCTTTGATGATAGCAGTTCTTAGGAGTGAGGAATTGCTGTGGTTTTGATCTGCACTTTCCCAATTACTAGTGATGTTGAGAAACTTTTCATGTACCTGTTGGCCATTTGTATATATTTTTTGGAAAAATATCTATTTAGTTTCTCTGTCCATATTTTAATTGTATTGGTTATTTATTTATTTACTTATATATTTATTAAATTACTTAGTTATTAAGTTGCATGAGTTCTTTATGTATTTTGGATATGAGCCCCTTATCAGATCTGTGATTTTAAATATTTTCTTCCATTGCATGCTTTGTCTTTTCACTTTGTTGATATTTTGCCCTCTGATGGAGACACTTTTTTAAATTTGACTAAGAGTCTTTTTATTCATCTGTATATGTCATAAAGTAGATTTCAATATAATGATTATTTGTATGTATTGCATTTCAATAAAATTAGTAGGGAATTAACCAATTCCTCTTTTATGGACACACTTTTTCCCTGATATTTCTGGTCTTTGGATATAATACTATTATGGGTATCCTCTAAAATAAAGTTTGTTCACAGCATGATTTTTTTTTCTTTATGCTGAATGACTCTTCTTTTACTTCCCTATCTCAAACAGAACTTATTTAAAAACATGATAAATGTAACAATGTATATAATGTGAAGCTTAAAATTGGGCAAATATGAATAATTTTTTCTTCTCTTTTATAGTCTTACTTGCCTATGATCACCAGTGCAAATAATTTTTTATGTTCATATGAATTAAACATATTTACACATTATTTCTTATTTTTTTCCCTTCTTTTCCTTCTATTTCTCTTGTTCTCATTTCCCTTCCACTTTTTCTTTTTTATGTTATACAAGTGTCCACTACTCTGCAACTTGATTTTTGCTTCTAAACAACAAAACATATAGAACTTTCCTTCTGGCATATTCTTTAGAGTGTTCTATCTTTAAATGCATGGATATATAATTACTCAAGTGGAGAGGTGATTAATCATATCAAAGGCTACAGTACAGTAAGTTTTTGTTATTCTAATAGAATGAATGGAACCATGAATGGAATACTATATATGTCCATATGATTTTTTTCATATTTGCTAAGTGATGGTCAGTTTTTTCATATTTACTAAGTGATAGTCAAACATTACAGATCAATGTTTTTTCCTTTTTCCCCACTTATACTTATCTGAATCCTTAGTCAATGCAATACAATCAGATTTTTAAATTTAGAGTCAGAAAGTAAACAAAACAAAAATGAATTACAACATAGGCAAAAAGTCAATGTACTATATTTTTTTATTAAGTCTCAGCTCTTTCCATCCCTAGATTTACTGAGATCTTTGAGTGAACAGTAATGTTATAATATTCTCTTTAGCCAACCAACCTTGTATTTCATATATTAAATGATAAAATGCAATATATTTTTAGGAGTTACTTGTAAGACTGATCTGAACTGGACATAGAAGTGTGGAAAACATGACAACTGCCTATGTCTGTGTTATCTTGTGTGGTTTCAACCAGACTGACCTAAATATACATTCATTTCTATGAGGTTATAACCCCAAAGATGAGAGTCTTATGTCTATTTTAGTTTATATACAATATCTATATCTACTCACTACAAATATTGAGCCATGGGAGTCCAATAAATAGCGAATGGTAGATTGTTGGTGGTTACCCAATTTTACTTCTTTAAATAGAACTTGTTCTTACTTGAAAAAAAAATGGTGGGGGTGGTAGTACCAAAAACCTTAAGCCAAACTGTGAATATTTAAATCTATAGATTTTATTATGCGGTCTATATCTTCAATAGCCATTTATTATAGGCTGTCATTTACACCTACCTTTAACAGATATCTGTTATTTTGCATATTGTTTCTTTTCTTATTCCTCTAGTTGTCTGGACTTTTAGTTCCATATACCTACGTCTTCCTTTAGTACATACTCAATTCTCATGAAAATTTTCACTATGAACTATCAATTGTAATTTTTTATGATGGTGACTTTTGCTAATTTATTTCCAGATTGTTACAAACCAGACGTTATTAAAAGTCTTGTTTACATATTTAAATTAAATAGGAATTTTTTTTTTAATTTTTACAAAACTGTTCAAAATATATCCAGTTATTTTCACATTTCCTCTGTGGTTTTTACCGAAGTAAGTTAGTCTCATACAACTGTAGGTAGCTGCCCCACTTAGGCTAGGTCTGGACTTTTCATCGACTCTAGGAGGATAGTAGAGAACAAATCTCTTCATTCACCTGCCAACATCTTTGTGGGCTTTTCTTTACTATTGGGATAAAGAAATCATCTCGAAAGCTTCATAATGTCCAATGTTGCAGACTCTGAGGAGCCTCCAGGTATTTTTTTAATTCAAAATCTTATACCATTTTAATGAAAATAATATTTTAATTACCTTTGTCTATCATCACTGCTAGTTATGATTATAACAGGGGCATAAAGATCTTGGTCTTATATTTTCTTTAATATTTTTCAGATATGCTGAAAGGATGCTTTTAAATAAAATTAACAGAAATAATGATCTGTTTCCTCACTCAACCTAAAGTGTAATCAATCATTTAAATAGTTTTAGCTGAGTGGGCTGTTGGATGGAAATGTGGTTTGAATGTCTTTGATTTCACTACTACTATATTATTTTTCTAACAATTTTTGAAAATACTAGTGAATCTCTTAAATTCTAATCTCATTTGTTTTATAAGATTATAAATTACTTATGTATTTTCTATGTTAAAAGAAATCACAGAGCAGACAGAGACAATACCTATTGCGGACTTGGAACCATCCCTTGACCTTCCTCCTCCTCCTCCTTCTCCTTCTCCTCCTCCAGAGGATGAACAGAGCCCAATTTTTGAGCCCATCAGGGTGAATGGTACAGTATATATACCAGATTTTATGCATTTATGTTCTCTCTTTGTTATCTTAAGGTACTTCTTCACCTGATTTTACTTTTCTCTAGCTATTACTATTTGGGAATTTTACAACTCAGAGAAAATATAGAGATTAAAAAAATTTCAAAATGTATATAGAAGTAGAACAAAAGCATATTTTCTCACAAAGACATTTGAAAATTTCATACATCAAGGAAAATATTCAAAGATAAAAGAAGCCATTCGTCCAAATTTAGATATGTTTCCTGACATGAGACTGAGCGACTGAAACATGATCAAAATTCAAAATTTAAAACATGATCATCATTTAAATTTCAGCGAATCTGTAAAAAGACAATAAAGGTAAAACCCTACTATATGATTGCCTCCTTTTGATCATAACAAAACATTTAGTAGAGCAGGATTTCTCAAATTCAGCACCACTGACATTTTGGGCTAGATAACTGTTGTGGGGGATGCTCCAGTGACTGTAGGACATTGAGCAGCATCTCTGGCTTCTACTCACTAGACACCAGTAGCACTTAACCCTCAGTTATGACACCAAGAATGTCTCTAGACATTTACAAATGTCCCTTGGGGACAAAATTGCCTCTGGTTGATAACCACCATAACATTATTCAGAAAGTTAAAGAAATGATTTGGACATTAGTTATTAATATAACCATTCTCTTTGATGGTAGCATTTCACCTTATTTCAGAAGTGTAATTCTTCAGAAGTATAAATACTTTTTTTTACACTAGAGTCTAAACGTTTATTTCAGAAGGAAATAAACATATTAAGAAAAGACTATAAACAATGATGGTTGAAAGTTTGGTTTCTAGAAAGTGGCAATGTAACATATTACTGTGGTGAAACTGAAAAAATTATAGATGCTGTTTGGCCTAAAACCAAATACCAGCCAGTTAAAATATTCCATAAGATTTGCAGTAATTCTTTAGGAGAAGTATATACCACCAGTCAGCAAGTTCAAGTAAAGAATTCTATCTTGATAATAACGGAGATTTAAAATAACTAAGTACTTATATTGGTGAGGATAAGCTTATCTGAACTGAAATTTTATGCCTGGTATTTAGGTATATTTAATACCTGTATGTAAAATTTTCATCTGTGGTGGAAGTATCCAAGACCATGTTCAGGTCTGATGATTGACTGGGAGAACTCACATTGATACATGTACTTATAGCTAAGATTTATGACAATGGAAGAATACCAAGCACAGACAGCAAAGGGAAAAGGTACATAGAGTGAAGAATGGTGGAGACTAGGCTCGGCTTCCCAGGGTCTTTTCCCAGTACGGTCATATGAGTCACACAAATTCCTCCAGTAAGTTGTGACAATGTGTGTCAAATGTTGCCCTCCTAAGAAACTCCTAAGAGAATTGGTGTTCAGGGTCTTTATTGGGGCTGATTCCATAGGCAACCTCTGGCTGACATATAACAAATTCCAGACTTCCAGAAGAAAAGTGGATGTTCATCAAAAACTATACGCTGTGCACAGTTCAAGAATAGTGAACCATTCTTATCAATAACTGTGGTGGGAACCCTCCTGAAATCTAGGTTTCCAGATGCCAGCCAAGTACAACCTTACAAGCAGACCTTTCAAAGATGGTAGTGAGGTCTGCTATGCTAACTCATTTCTGCACATCCTTTTAGGTAGTTTTTTTTTCTTCACATTCAGCCTAAAAGTTCATAGCAATTCACACACTGGATAATACCAGAAAATTTTGCATATTTTAAGAGCAATAACAAATGGAAAATAATGGTATTAATCTTTCAAACAACATCAGCTCACAATATCTCTGATTATCACTCATTCTGTTTCTTAGCTTCTTCTTTTTCTTTTTCTCTGTAAGGAATCATTGCTGTGATCCTGGGAATCTTCACCCTGCTGCTCTTGATGTTGTGTGGATTCTTTGGTTATCAGTGTAAGTCTGATTAATTAGGGGAAAAGGTTTCTCAGATTATCATATTTCTTTAAATCATTTTCGGGTAATAGTTTTTCATAAACATTTTGTTGCCGTTGGAAAAAGAACAGGCAAAAAACAACACGAAATTATCACAACTTTTTAGTATATGAATGAATTTAACCTTCTGAGCTCTCAATAACTGTAATATTTTTCCAGGGAAGCAATATTATTGCAATTACCGTAGAGATCTTGATACTAACAATTATTATTTGAAAATTACCACTTGCTAAGAAATAAGCTTATGATTTTACAACTGTATTTATTTAGAAATCAGAAAGTAACTTACTTTATAATTTGTTCAAATTGTCAATGTCTCCAGCAGCCTAAATTAGATCAATAGAATGTTTTTATTATTACTAAAATTATTCCCAACTGGTGATTTAAAAGTAAATGTTCCTCTTTGATGATAACACTAGTTTGATACTCAAAACTGTAATTTTGATCAGGGAATGAAATTCAACACATTAAATCAACCACTCATGATGCCAAAAAATATTTATTCAAGATGATATTTGCCGTTTTTGTTTGTCTTAATTGAGTTGGGCCATTTTTCTACTAATAGAAACATGCATTCAAACTTATAAGGAAATTATGTTGATATTTTGGATTTAGGCATAGACTTTAGAAATAATAGTGGATAAATGAAAGAGTATTTGGCCAAATAACTTTTTACAGTTTTTGAAAACATTTATGGAGAACTTTAGTAAGTAGAAAACTAAAAAATTATACTTTGTAATTGAATACACTTGATATTTCATAATTAAGCATGTGGCTTATATGTATTGGGAATTCTTGTTCTTAGACTTTCAAACTGTTGAGGCATCAGCATCCAAGATGAAGATCTTTCACGAATGGATTGAGTCTTTACAAAACAAAACTGAAAAATTTCTAAGGATCCAAAAAGTTCTTGACCAAAATAAAGGTAATATGGGAGCTAGAACAAACTCTCTTTACAGAATGCTAGGTTGTTCTTATTGCAGCCCTAAAATGGTTGGTTGCATAATGTAACAGGAGTTCTCTGACACAGCAGCATAGCAATTTTGATGGCTTCTTTCTTCTTCTTCCCGTCATCCTCTGAAACTGAGTCACACATTTATGAGACACAGCCTCCTATATTTAATTAGCTCATTCACTCATTTATTCATTCACATTTGTTCAATGCACACTAAATGCCAGCCACTAGGCTGGTGATCAGTATGAACCCTGCCCTTAGGAGGCTCAGGAGAAAGCATATAAACCAAAAATAAATCAAAGTGCACAGGTGTGAAGTAGAGGTCTGTGCAAGATATTCAGGGAGCGTGGGAATGGGAGAACTTAAATATCTGAAAAATCATAGTGTTTTCATAGTTTCTAAATGCCTCCTAAGGAGAGAAGTTTAAAATACTACAGTCATGATAAAGCTTCGTTTATGCTGATTAACTGTAATATAAAATAGTCTGTTTACGATAAATAAATATTTTACAAAAGCCTAGCATTACGTTAGTTTGTTTCCTGTGAAGTATCAAATCTATATTGAATAATTGAATCAACCATTTGAGAGTCCTTTAGTGATAGGTTGTGTTAAAACACAGGTTTCTTTCTTTCTTTTTCTTTTTTTTTTTATTGAGATACGCTTAACATATAACATTGTGTAAGTTTGAGGTGTATGACATGTTGGTTTAATGCTTCTACATATTGCAATATGATTACTACAGTAGTGTATCATGTCACATAATTATCATTTCAATTTTGTATTGAGAACAATTAAGATCTAGTCTCTTAGCAACTTTGAATTTATAATTCAGCATTGCTGACTATGACCACTATGTTATGCATTTTAAAAGGTTGGTTTCTTTTTTTTTTAGATTTTTTTTAAAGATTTTATTTATTTATTTGTCAGAGAGAGAGAGAGAGAGCATGAGCAGGGGGAGAAGCAGGCAGAGGGAGAAGCAGGTTCCCTGCTGATCAAGGAGCCTGATGTGGGACTCGATCCCAGGACCCTGGGATGATGACCTGAGCCAAAGGCAGACACTTAACTGACTGAGCCACCCAGGCATCCCTTAAGAGGCTGGTTTCTAAGCAATTGATCATTTCAGCTAGAGATGAAACTAATTAAGAAGAGAAGGGCACTGAACCAAAATTACCTGTATATTTGCCACTTGAGAATTTCATTATTATGACTCTTAAAATAGTAAAAAAATATCTGATATAATGTTTATTCTCATCTATTAAGTCTTATTGTCCAATGTAGAAAACCTAGAGTGGCTCCGAAGCCAGAAGGATTATCTCATTGAGGCTTTACAAGAACTAAAGGAGAAACAAGGTAATTTGGAAGAAACTGAGACAATTCCGAGTTGATAATAATTCTTTTTTTAAAATAATAATTCTTAATAACAGTCTTATTCATCTTAAAAGGGAAAGGTGTGAAACAACAAGGCCTTCTGTGTGGGTTCTGAGCTATAAATATCTTCTTTCTTAGGAGTCAAGTGTGGACTTCCCTTGAATCACTGGGTTCAGTACAAAGACCACTGCTACCACCAAACCATGGAAATGGTTTCTTGGTTAAACTGTTCTGATCTTTGTGTCTCTTTGAACGCTACATTTTTAAAGACAGAAGGGAGTAGATTGAAGGTGAGATTGTATTTTATTCTTTGATTCTGGGATATGAATATTTAATAGGTACCAGTCAAAGGAAGTGTTCACCTGCGCCTCTAAAAACAGAGAAAGGAATATTCTCTAGCTTCGGTTTTCACTCATCTTTTCCTGGTGTGCTCCACTTCACGCACCTTTCTTTTCCCAACACACCATGCATACTTTCCCTGTAGAAACATTCCATTTGCTGTTCCCTCTGCATGCAATGTTCTTCTCTCCTATAACCATGACTAACTACTTCACCTCCTTGAAGTATGCATTCATTCAATTATCACTTTCTCTCTTTTTTAAAAGATTTTATTTATTTATTTGACAGAGACACAGCAAGAGAGGGAACACAAGCAGGGGGAGTGGGAGAGGGAGAAGCAGGCTTTCCGCTGAGCAGGGAGCCCAATGCGGAGCTCGATCCCAGGACCCTGGGATCATGACCTGAGCTGAAGGCAGACGCTTCGACTGAGCCACCCAGGTGCCCCAAGTTATCACCTTCCCAATGAGGCCTGCCCTGAAAACCCCATTTAAAATTGCAACTTGTGCATCAGTGCCCACCTTCCAACCCCCGCAGACGCCCTCCTCTGTACTCCTAGTCCTTCTGACTCTGCTCTATTTTTTTTTCTTTTCCTTTCTTTGCCTTGCCTTTTATTTCTTATATTAATTGCAGTATAGTTAACATACAGTGTTACAGTAGTTTCAGGTGTACAACATAGTGATTCAACAATTCTATATATTATTCAGTGCTCATCATAAGTGCATTTTTTTCAAATTAACTTATTCTACTTAATTCAATGACCGAAATAAATCATTATTTTGTGATAAGTGTACTCTTTAATCCCTATCACCTAATTAACCCATCCCTCCCCTCCTCTGTGGTAACCAACAGTTTGTTCTCCATAGTTAAGAGTAGGTTTTTGGTTTGTCTCTCTCTCTCTCTCTTTTTTTTATTAATTTGTTTTGTTTCTTAAATTCCACATATGTGTGAAATTATATGGTATTTGTCTTTCTCTGACTAGCTTATTTTACTTAGCATTATACCCTGTAGATCATTCATGTTGCAAATGACAAGATTTTATTCTTTTTTATGGCTGAGTAACATTCCATTGTGTGTGTGTATACACACACACACACACACACACACACATGTATACCACATCTTTATCCATTTACTTACTGATGGACACTTGGGCTGCTCTCAACTTTGGCTATTGTAAATAATGCTGCAGTAAAAATAGGGATACACATATCTTTTCAAATTAGTGTTTTAGTATTCTTTGGGTAAATACCCAGTAGTACAGTTACTGGATCATTGGGTAGCTCTATTTTTAACTTTTTGAGGACCCTCCATACTGTTTTCCACAGTGGCTGCACCAGTTGCATTCCCACCAACAGTGCAAGAGGGTTCGTTTTCTGCACATACTCACCAAGTGTTGTTTCTTGTGTTGTTGATTTTAACCATTCTGACAGGTGTGAGATGATATCTCATTGTGATTCCTTGCTCTAATTTCCTTTATAGAATTTGTCACCTTCTTACATATCATTTGTATATATGATGTTTACTTCTATCTGGACCCAATCCCCCCAAATTGGGAATTTTCTCATTTTTGTTCAATGATATATTTTTCAAAAGAATAGACAGCGTTGGATAAGTGATAAAATGAGTTAAGAAAAATAATTGATTTTTAGTGTTCAGTGTCCTCTTGAATATGTAATTTTCTATTAGCTATCTTTTCTTTTTCTTTGTATTTAGTTCCTGGTTTGAGAAAAGCACAGACACTATAGAACTAAATACTTTTTTGATGTTTCCTTTATCAGTGGACATATAGAGACTGCAGTATTTTTATTTTTATGATTCTTTACTTCCTGCCTGACACAAATTCAATATTTTTCATCTCTAATGTGCTTTTAGTATTAATATTTTTGTATCTGTTGGTTCCTGCAGAATATCATGAAATTAATTACAGTAAATCATACTTGGCTTGGCCTGTCTTACAAGAAGGAGGACAATGAATGGAAGTGGGAGGATGGCTCCTCTCCTTCTCCTGGGCTGTAAGTCTCTAATATATAACCAATTCTTTATTCCTTTCTCAATGTCTTTTGCTTAAAGAGCCTGAGAAATAGAGAAGATTACCTGGGACAGAATTTGGACATTTTTATTTCTTGCTTTTGTTACTTCATATTATAATTTTATATATCAGCAATTTTATAAATCATAAAGTCATTTAGATATTTCATAATTAGTGTAAATATACCTCTATTATTAGATGATCTGATTAATTACAATTTTAGATGAGAAATGTAATGTGGAGAAGAATATTATTATATATAAACTTTGGGACATCTCTGTTGTTCTTAGGAGAAGTATAAAATCGTCACTCTTAGGCCACAGAATTTGGGTCCTTTTTATGGTTTTAAGCACATTGGTCAATTGTGATCCAGAAACATTGCATTGGACAACTATAGCAAATATATATACACATATATACACACATTATTTATGTGTGTATATATGTTTCATCACTGTGTGACAAACTTGGAATTTCAAAGTTTTAATAATTTTAATAGCTGATTATTTTTATTTTGTTCTTTTAGGTAATAGTCTTCTTACATTTAGTGAGACAATTTTTCCTATAAACTATAATAATACTTTTGACCATTTTATCCTATTTCCCTTTTTATTTTTTCTATGGCTTCTTATACATTAGGTTTCTAAATTTTCTTTCAGACCTTCTTACCAGTTTTTTCCTTTAGTGGTTTGCCCTTTAAGTTTATTTGCTTTTATTATGTGAACAAAGAGTTAACATTTAAGTATACTGAGATTGTCTTTATTCATTTGAAATTTGTTTTGCCATATGATGGAGAAAGTTGAAGTATGTACATCTGTATTCACATGCAGTTATAATTATATCTGTCGCTAATATGTATATTTTAATTAGGTAATCAATTGTTAGAGTACTGTTTAATGATTATTTCTTATCACTGAATTTAATGTCATATTTATCACATACTAAAATTTTAATATTTAAATAATTTAACTCATTTAGTATGTCACTTAAATATTTTATAGCTTGTGTAAATATTTTAATGTGTATACAACCTTGAACATTTTTCTGGACTTGCCTATACTATCGTGTCAAATTATGAGTCTGCTTATTTTCAAGGTTGACAATTTTATTTATTATTCTTTCTGGTTTTAAAAGTGAATTTTATTCTTCTTCCTTTGCCAAATGAAATATCATATTGGCTTTGAAATAACATTCTTTCATCTTAAATTATTCAGAA